ATATCGCAATATCTGCCAGGAAAATCGCAATTAGATCTTTTCCTCAAATCGTTCAGCCCTAGTGGAAGAAAAAAGTTCTCGCCTATTTTTTCTACATTACGTCAATTTTTAGGTATCTGTAAGAAAGCCAAATCAGGTGACAATACCAAACATTTGATATGTCAGTTGGGCTTTAAAATCATGGAAACAACGCCTAACATGTCCACTGAAACCTGGTTCTGATTTATTGCATTTATCACCCTTCCAAATGTGTAACTTCAGCTGAAACTTCAAAGCAAAAGAGGATTTAAATTGGCAGTTTACTTATGTTTCTCTGACTTTTAAGCGGGGTATGTTTTCCCAACCTTGAGAAGTTCAGCTCACTTTCATGTTTGGATATAACCTTGTGATCACACCTGAGCATTCTCCCCCCTCCATCTCCTTTCTGCTCCATCACACCCTCCATCTTTTCATCTGCCCCTCCTTTTGATTCTACCTAACCATCTGTTTGTTCCAATTCAGCACCATCTCGCTGTGTTTTTCTAATCTTTCCGTGATCCCTCTGTTTAAACCCTGATGAATACTCCTTTCGCCCTGCAGTGGGTGCCTTTCTGTCGCCAATTAAATTTCCTTTCGCTGAGCATTTTCCGTCTGCTAAATCTCCTTCTTTCCCCCTGTTAATCTGGCTCGACCCTGCCTTTACCTGTCGCCAGTCCTCATACCCGGGCTTTTATTGTTTCACTGTCATTCTTGTCAACACAACACTGTCTGTTGCAGTCGGTCTGCACCATCCTCCCTGCATCTGAGTGCTGTGCAGCCTTTCATACAACGCCAGCTGCATCAAATGAAGCTGAATTGGCACTTCCAAAAGGTGGATTTAGGGTTGCAAGGCACTGCTTATCTGAGACAAATTGGCCAGGATGAGGTTTATTTATTTGGGGAATTATCGCGGCAGCCTCGTGCAGACACACAGACACTCTCAACTTAAACACTCTTACTTAATCTAACTCTCTTCCTCTCTAAACATAAGATACATGTACGCCCCTTTTCCTAATTCACATTTAATTCACAGCACACACCCTGCCTCAACTGAACTCTCTCACACTCCAACCTTCTTATTAAAATCTCCCTCTCTCTCTCTCTCTCTCTCTCTCTCACTGTGCCAGTTTCATTAGGCGACAGGTTTCAGAGCTCTCTGGCATGAATTCACACGAGGCAGGAAAACGTGATGTCATTATTCAGTCTCCGTTCTCTCCGTCTAGTAAACTGTCAGCTCGGGGAGAGTGGGAGATGATGGAGAGCTCAGGTGTCTGTATGACGGGGGAGTGGAGGGGTCAGAGAAGATGTTTAGTCTATGCACATCACATGATTTTGTGTTTGGGGAATGGTGTGTGAATGTACATGGGTAGTGTTTGTAGTATATGAATGTGTGAGATTTACCACGCCTATACTTTAGTGCATGAGGCATACGGGGTGTGTGTCTGTCTGTGTGTGTGTGTTTCTCTAGGATCAGATTCAGAAGCCAGCAAGGAGGTGAAGCTTCTACTTGACAAAAACACAGAGTTGGGCTGAGCTCCAGAGTTGTTGCATTTCTAGGACTCCCTCTCTCGTTTTCACTTCACATCTTACTAGCAGCCTCTCTGATTTTGCCTTCGCCCTCCTCCTTCATCCTATTCAGTCTCTAGTCTTTACTGTTGAGCTCATTCTAATGCCCTGTGCCTATCCACATTTGCTCCTCTTCCTTCTGCCTACATTGTCACAATCACACAATTTTAATTGTAAAGACAAGCAGAGCTAAGTAAGAAAAGGTACACTTATTTGGAATTATGGTGAAATGGCCCTTTAAACTGAAATGATACCACTTTTTAGCTGGGACTGGTAACAGTGATGAGATCTAAAACATACACTGGATGCAAGGTATTCTTCATCTCTCGCTCAGCTGTCATGCTTCTCCGCCAACGGGTAAAGTTCATTGAAACCAATGATACCTACTGGAAAAACGAAGTAATACTCACATTA